AATTGCAACAACAACAACTCAAAAGTATTTAAACTAAATGTTAAAGAATTTAATGACGTAGCAACATGCAAAGTAAACAAATAATGATCGTGTGTGTATGTTGTTTTTGTAGATCCAAAATTTCATGTTTAAAATAAAAAGAAATGGATTGTGAATGAATGAGTAGAATGAATAAAATGAATGAGTGAATTGTGATCGTTTTATTGTGGATGATTTTTTGTTAACTTCATTAAATTGTATGAGTGCGTGTGGTGTCTGGCGTTGTGTGGTTTATTATTCACGAATGATGAGAAAGTTGCCAGACTGAAGGATTATTTACAAAACTGGGGAAAAATGGAAATTATAGGACAAGACTAGAATGTAGACTGGACAAACTATAGATTATACTGCTATAGACTATTGACTAGACTATAGACTAGACTATAGACTAGACCATAGACTAGACTATAGACTAGACTATAGACTAGACTATAGACTAGACTATAGACTAGACTATAGACTAGACTATAGACTAGACTATAGACTAGACTATAGACTAGACTATAGACTAGACTATAGACTAGACTATAGACTAGACTATAGACTAGACTATAGACTAGACTATAGACTAGACTATAGACTAGACTATAGACTAGACTATAGACTAGACTATAGACTAGACTATAGACTAGACTATAGACTAGACTGTAGACTAGACTATAGACTAGACTATAGACTAGACTATAGACTAGACTATAGACTAGACTATAGACTAGACTATAGACTAGACTATAGACTAGACTATAGACTAGACTATAGACTAGACTATAGACTAGACTAGACTAGACTATAGACTAGACTATAGACTAGACTATAGACTAGACTATAGACTAGACTATAGACTAGACTATAGACTAGACTATAGACTAGACTATAGACTAGACTATAGACTAGACTAGACTATAGACTAAACAATAGACTAGACTATAGACTAGACTGTAGACTAGACTATAGACTAGACTATAGACTAGACTATAAACTAGACTATAGACTAGACTATAAACTAGACTATAGACTAGACTATAGACTAGACTAAACTTAAATTCTAAGTTCATTCAGTTCCATGGTCTTAAAGAGAATTATGGGTATTCTGGCGATTACAAAAGTGGCTACATCTGGCAACTTTTTATTTTGTTTCAAACAAACTGCTTTTTTGTTTGTCATAAGTACCCTGTGGTTATAACAATTAATTTCCATTCATTCATGCCGTCTGTCATATATTTATTTTATTTATGTGTAAATGTCACGATAATTTCATGGATTTTTACTAGGCGAACAGTAAATTTAGTTAGAAGACAATAAAAATTAAAAAAAAAAAACTCTACTTGTGCAGTTTACAGTGTAGAGTAGACTCTGTAATGATAAACATTGACAAAACCCTTATAAAAACACAACATTGAGCACAGGAAACACGATAATATGCGTCGGTCGTGTGTTCAGAAGAAAAAAAACAATGTAATATGAAATTAACATAAATGTGAATGAAGTAGTGGAAATTGCTGCTAGCCTGTTAACTAACATTGGTAAAATATTGATTTTTTCGATTTCTAAATTTCTTACCAAAAAAAAAAGAAACTTTCAAAATAACAAAAATATTTTTAAAATTTTAAAATTTTTGAAACATAACTTGCTGTTTATGATCAAAATTTTGAGCTCCTAATAAAAATCATAAAATTATCTTGACAAGATCAGCAATTAATTATAAACTAACAAATAATATTTTTTATTATTTATGTTCATTGTTGAGCTAAATAACAAACGATCTTGGCATACTTAATGAAGAATGGACATGTTCTTGGCATATTTAACATACTTGTTGAAACTATAAACAAAGTTTTTAAAGAAAAAGAGCTTTTTTTCATGATCAGTCAGCTTTGTAAATTTTTAATTATAGTTTTTTCCTTGACATAATTTAAATATTTATTTAAATTTTTATAAAGTGTATCATTTGAATAGAATAACAGCAAAAACTACAAGCAACTTTTCTTTCAATAAAAAACAACAAAAAACACTTGAACTTTTAGAAAAAGAAATTCTTGAACAAAAATCTTCAAAAACAACTTCTTTATGCGTCACACTCACTACCCTCATGTTTAGGTCTGCAGTTGTATGTTTTTTTCAAAAGATCACTAAACATTTAATGACCCATGAAACCATAACATTAATTTTCTTTTGTTATGTTTATTTTCAAGATCTTGTGTTGTTTATAAACAAAAAAACTAACGAGGGTTGTCTGTAAAGTGTTTGAAATATGATCGTAAACACGATCAGAAAATAAAGTGTATAAAACATCTTTGATTGAGTTCGTTTGTATACGAAGGCTGTTTAATAAATACTGTATTAAGACCCCTAAGGGAATTTGTTCTAATTTTTTTCAAATAACTAATTACAAAACTAGTGCCAATTCGGCAAAACAGGGATAATTGCGTAAGACATTTTCAAATAATTTGATAAAAAAATTACTCTATAACTCAAGTTTAATTTGTAAATGATAACTCAATATCAAAAATATAAAAAAAATCCTTCGCTATGTATCTGGAGCATATTTACTGTCAATGTCTCAAAAAGTAAATCAGCGATCTACTTGACGGCGTTAAAAAAATATTTACCAATAATTTTCACTCTATTAACGTTTCTGCCAGCCCATGTAAAACCTCCACTAAAGTATACAGACAAAAATTGAGATACTGATCTTTATTGTAAGACATTGGAACAACATACATATTTTCCCTTAAAAAATCTTTACTAATTTGAAAATCTGTTTATATTTTTTCTGAATTCCTATGAAAATCCACCACTGAAAAAAACACAATTATAAAAAATAATAATAAAAATGTGCGTGAATGTGAACTAATAAATACAACTAGTTAGTCGCTTAGATAAACATATTCAATATTGGGTAAACACCCTACGCTAAGCAAGAATCGACTAAGTATACAAATTTCTAATGGAAAATATAATTTTAAGTAAATAATCGAATTTTTAATAAAAACTTTTTTTTTTTTTTTTGTAGAATAGACTGGACTATAGAATATACTATAGTCTGGACTATGGAAAAGACTATACTCTGGACTAAAGAATAGACTATAGTGTGGACTAAAGAATAGACTATAGTCTGGACTATAGAATGAACTATAGTCTGGACTATAGAGTAGACTATAGTCTGGACTATAGAATAGACTATAGTCTGGACTATAGAATAGACTATAGTCTGGACTATAGAATAGACTATGGTCTGGAATTTTTAATAAAAACTATTTTTTTTTTGTAGAATAGACTGGACTATAGAATATACTATAGTCTGGACTATGGAAAAGACTATACTCTGGACTAAAGAATAGACTATAGAATAGACTATAGTCTAAAATATAGAATATACTATAAACTGGACTATAGAATAGACTATAGTCTGGACTATATAATATACTATAGTCTGGACTATAAAATAGACTATAGTCTGGACTATAGAATAGACTATAGTCTGGACTATAGAATAGACTATAGTCTGGACTATAGAATAGACTATAGTCTGGACTATATAATATACTATAGTCTGGACTATTAAATAGATTATAGTCTGGACTATAAAATAGACTATAGTCTGGACTATAGAATAGACTATAGTCTAGACTATAGAATAGACTATAGTCTGGACTATAGAATAGACTATAGTCTGGACTATAGAATAGACTATAGTCTGGACTATAGAATAGACTATAGTCTGGACTATAGAATTGACTATAGTCTGGACTATAGAATAGACTATAGTCTGGACTATAGAATAGACTATAGTCTGGACTATAGAATAGACTATAGTCTGGACTATAGAATAGACTATAGTCTGGACTATAGAATAGACTATAGTCTGGACTATAGAATAGACTATAGTCTGGACTATAGAATAGACTATAGTCTGGACTATAGAATAGACTATAGTCTGAATAATAGAATAGACTATAGTCTGGACTGTAGACTAGACAATAGTCTAGACTATAGAATGACTATAGTCTGGACTATAGAATAGACTATAGTCTGGACTATAGAATAGACTATAGCCTGGACTATAGAATAGACTATAGTCTGGACTATAGAATAGACTATAGTCTGGACTATAGGATAGACTATAGTCTAAACTATAGAATAAATTATAGTCTGACCTAGAGAATAGACTATAGTCCGGACTATAGAATAGACTATTGCTTGGACTATAGAATAGGCTATTGAATAAACTATAGTCTGAACTATTAATATGTTTTACGAACTTGTCTACATGTCTTTTCAAATTCTTACATAATTTACAGTTGGTACCGTATTTCATATTCGTTTTCGTACACTAAATTTCCAAACACCAAAATTCTAAACAATTTCCAAATAATCATAGAAATTTCTATGTAAACTCACACACAACATAAAAAATATTGAGCTATAATATTTACCAAGGTTTTCTTTGTTTCTATTTTTTCAATTTCTCCCTTTCCCTTTTGCTTTCATTTTTAATTTTGAAAAAAAAAAAAAAATGAAACTTATGAATTTTCCTGAGCTCCTATACAAATGCTATAGTTTTGATTTCACTTGACTTTTTTTGACATGAAGCAATGTCAAAATTTTATGTTCCAAACGACCCAGTGAAATGCTTTACATATGATTTCACTAGTTTTGATAATTTTTATTTTTAAATAAAAGTGAAAATGTGGTGTAATTTTTGTTTAGGGGAACTATTTATAATTGTATGTAATAAAATTGTGGTATTTTTCTAAGACACTTTCAAAATTATGCTGCAGTCCCATTGAAATTTCTTTACATTTAATTTCACTGATTTTGAGTGAAACCAAAAACTATTTTTTGTAGTTTTTCTGTTTGTCTTATAAAAATATAACAAATATTTTTTTATTCAGAATTTAAAAACTAACATTCTATTTTTGCTGTTGCCCTTTGAATTAAATAAATATTGAAATAAATACCTTGAACTTGATGACGTTTTATTTGGCAATAACACACCACAATCAATAGCTGGGCACTATTGCTTAAATCTTAGACAAATAATTTCCACTCGTAATAAATTCCAATTATATAGATTTCAAACGTTATCTATATCTGGCTGACAGTTTTTAAAGCAATAAAATTGATTACAATTTGTCACGATTTAGTACTTTAGTCAATAATTGCTTGTTTTTCAATAGGAGTTCAGAAAATTTAGTTGAAAGAAATTCTCTCTAAAATTTTCGATCAATATTTTTGTTGTTGACTAATTTCTCTGCTGACAAGGATCTGTAATATATAAAAGGGTAAAAAATCATTAATTGTTGGTAAAAGAATAGGCGATAATTAAAATAAGAAGGTGTTGAGCTAAAAAAAAAACTATAAAAAATAATGGCCAAAATGGTTTAGGCCTTGGTAAAGGAACTCAAAAAGACTAAAACTTATTATTTGCTTAAAACAACTTAGTAAAAGGGAAACAGAAATTTCTGTAAGTACAATTTCTACACTCAAAAATTGTGACAAATTGTTAAAAAAAAAACTGATAACCATATTACCCCCTTAATGAATTTGTTATCAAAATAATCATAAATAAACAAATTATTAACCAATAAATTACGTCAAAATACCAGGTCTTCAGAAATTTCTAAAAGAAAATCTTAGATTTAAAAAACTAAGAAATGTTTCTTTCAAAATTTCCACGAAGCACAAACATTATTCGGTTTTTATACAAACAAAACATGAACCTTAAATACATATATGTCTCACCAATACAATGTCGTTTTTGACTTATAAAAATAAATCGATCTATTATTTTGTTTAAATGGCGTAAATCTCAGTGCCCTTAAAAATATATTAGATCAATATAATTAAGTACTAATTCCTAGTGCTGTCATTATTATTTCAAAAGTAATCAATAACCACAAAATATTGTCAGTTTTCAATAGGCTGTCAGAAACTTTAAAAGGGCTTAAGGGAAATTATGGAATGGGAAATATGTGTTCTATAGTCTTGGCACACTCCCTTGGTAGACAAATAAAACAGAAAAACCATAAAATAAATATAAATGACCGAGCGCACACATTGTAGTAAAAGTGGCTGTGAGGGCATTAAGGTGGTTCAGATTTTTTAAAATTAAGATATTCTTATAGGAAAATATTTTACTTTCCGAACAGATATAGAAAAATGGCTTCGTAATACTCAAGACTATCTGGACCATAGTCTGGACTATAGAACAGACTATAGTCTAGAATATATAATAAAATATAGTCTGGACTATACAATAGTCTGGAGTATATAGTCGACTATAGACTGGACTATATAGTAGACTATAGTCTGGACTATAGAATGGACTGTAGTTTGGACTATAGAATAGACTATAGTCTGGACTATAGAATAGACAATAGTATGGACTACAGAATAGACTATAGTATGGACTATAGAAAAGGTTATAGTCTGGACTATAGAATTACTCTATAATGTGGATTATAGAATAGACTACAGTCTTGAATTTAGAATATACTATAGTCTTGACTATAGAAGAGACCATAGACTTGACTGTAAAATAGATCAGAGTCTGAACTATAGAATATACTATAGTCTGGACTATAGAATAAACTATAGTCTAGACTATAGAATAGACTATAGTCTAGACTATAGAATAGACTATAGTCTAGCCTATAGAATAGACTATAGTAGAGACGATAGAATAGACTATAGTCTGGACTATAGAAAAGACTATAGTCTAGACTATAGAATAGACTATAGTCTAGACTATAGAATAGACTATAGTCTAGCCTATAGAATAGACTATAGTCTGGACTATAGAATAGAATATAGTCTGGACTATAGAATAGAATATAGTCTGCACTATAGAATAGAATATAGTCTGGACTATATAATAGTCTATAGTCTCGACTATAGTCTGGACTATAGAATAGACTATAGTCTGGATAAAAGAATAGACTATAGTCTGGACGATATAACAGACTAAAGTCTGGATGATAGAATAGACTATAGTCTGGACGATAGAATAGACTATAGTCTGGACGATAGAATAGACTATAGTCTGGACGATAGAATAGACTATAGTCTGGACGATAGAATAGACTATAGTCTGGAATATAGAATAGACTATAGTCTGGACTATAATATAGACTATATTATAGACTATAGAATAGACTATATTCTGAACTATAGAATAGACTATAGAATAGACTATAGTCTGGACTATAGAATAGACTATAGTGTGGACTATAGGCTAGACTATAGAATAGACTATAGTCTAGATGATAGAATAGACTATAGTCTGGACGATAGAATAGACTATAGTCTGGGCTATAGAATAGACTATAGTCTGGACTATAGAATAGACTATAGTCTGGACTATAGAATAGACTATAGCCTGGACTATAGAATAGACTATAGCCTGGACTATAGAATAGACTATAGTCTGGACTATAGAATAGACTATAGTCTGGACTATAGAATAGACTATTGTCTGGACTATAGAATAGACTATTGTCTGGACTATAGAATAGAATATAGTCTGGACTATAGAATAGACTATAGTCTGGACTATAGAATAGACTATAGTCTGGACTATAGAATAGACTATATTCTGGACTATAGAATAGACTATAGTCTGGACTATAGAATAGCCTATAATCTGGACTATAGAATAGACTATAGTCTAGACTATAGAATAGAATATAGTATGGACTTTAGAATAGACTTTAGTCTGGACTATAGAATAGACTTTAGTCTGAACTATTGAATAGACTATAGTTTGGACTATAGAATAGACAATAGTCTGGACTATGGAATAGACTATAGTCTGGACTATGGAATAGACTATTGTCTGTACTATAGTATAGTCTAAAGAATAGACTATTTCTTGAACAATTAATTTTTACCACCCTACTGAACTCTTAAAAAAGAAAATTTTCACTGCAATAAGAATTTATATTTCTAGAATTACTGTAGCCCTGTTAAAATAGCAAAACAAGTTTTTAAACAAAAACAAACAAGTTCTCACAAAACTACTCGACACCAAAAAGAAAAAAAAACTCGTTACAGACAAAAATATGTCACCATTTCCGTTACAAAAATAGAATTAAATACTTCCGGTTATTGGAAATCAATGATAATTGAAGAAAAGAATCAGTTGTAAAAATAATTTGATATTTGTTTGCTGCACATAGGTAGTGATTTGAATTTGTAATAGACATTTACAAGTGACTCTTGTAATGTTAAACGTTAACACGTGTTGTAATGTTGCTATAGAAAACAATTTGTAAATTCTTAATCGTATATGACGGTAACATATATTAAGGTGGGTAATATCTTTCCGGTTTGTTGCTTTTTATGGTCAATGACAGCTGTTGAAGACAGTAACATTTTGGTAATAATTTTTAACAAGGACAGCTGTACATTTTTATTTTCTGTTTTGCTATTTTAAAAATTATGATATCCTGGTAATATGACAGGTAAACATTCTTATAAATTTTAAATAATTTCACACCTTAATAAGAGAAAAGGCTAGACTATAATAATTTCCCATACAATTAAGATTCTTTTCAAATTACTAGATTTATTACAGATAATATTCCCCTTACAAGAAGTAATGTAATGACTTATTGTGCATTTATTGAAGAGGAAGTCAAATAAAGAAACAGTTACTTCTTCCATTACTTTTTTAATTTAAATTTTTTGTTTACTTTTCATTCTCTTCATTTATGCCAACCTATTAACTTAAAGCGAAATATGTCACTAGGCTGATGGGAAAAGACTTACATGCTAGCAACATTTCCAAAAGTGGATATTTATGTCAAATAGTCTTCAATTTCCTGCAGACATTTTTATTTGCCCTTTTTTTAAACCAGCAAATTGTCTTAACTTGTTTTCCATTAGATATGTTTTTAAACTTCTGCACTCCTATGACTTAAACGTCAAAAATTCAACAAAAAGTAATAAATTTCTCACATAGTCAAACATGTAACGGAAAAATACTTCCGCTGGGGACGTGAAAAATGTAACGGCTTTTCAAAACTTATTTGAAACCTACTAAAACTATCAGTAAAATTAAGCTGTGACAAATGATATAAACATATTGTAACTCTATTAGGAACAGTTGGTAATTTCCGTTATTTTTCAAAATAACTACTCAAAATAATATTATTAAAATTGCCTATTTGAAAATTCTGCTCTCCCTTTACTACGGAAATGCAAAATATCATACTATTTTAGAAATAGTAAGTAATATAGTATTAAAATAATTATTTACAATTGTAATAAAAATGTGTTCATTTTATCTGTAAAAGTTTTATAATTTAACGCCCTTTTTTATATTCTGTACTCCTTTTACAGCGGAAACGAAAAAATTTGATATTATTTTAAAATATTTATTAGTAAGTAAATAAAGTAATATGTGTAATAAATATTTATGTAAGTAAGGAAATATTTTTCCTCTTAATAATATTACCACGAAATTGTGGTACGTGCTGCTAAAACCACCCTTAGCTGGCAAATGAAATGTTCAATGTTAAAGCAGGACTGGAAAAGTGTGAATTATGAATGGTTATTACACTCTAAACTAACTAAACAGAATGTTTTAATTGTAGTCTACAGAAAATAAACACTATAGTCGATATTGACGACAGTAAACTACATTGACTATAGTCTATAGACTATAACTTCGACTATAGTTTATTGACTATATCGACTATTGTCTACGGACTATATAAACTACTGTCTATGGCCTTTATCAACTATAGTCTATAAATAGTCGACTATAGTTCATAGACTATATCAATTATAGTGCATAGACTATAAAGTAACGACTATAGTCTATAGGCTATAACGACTATAGGCTATAAAGACTATAGACTATATGGACTATAGTTTAAATACTATATCGACTATAGTCTATAGACTACATCGACTGTAGTCTATAGACTATATCGACTATAGATTATATCGACTATATAATCTATCGACTATATAATCTATAGACTAATATATATACTCTATAAACTATAGTCTATAGACTCTATCGACTATATTCTATAGACTCTATCGACTACAGTATAAAGACTATATCGACTGTTGTACGTAGGATATATAGACAGTAGTCTATAAACTATATCGACTATAGACTATATTGACTATAGTCTATAGTCTATAGACGCTATCGGAACAGTTTGTGGGCTCTATTGACTATAGTCTATAGACGCTATCGGAACAGTTTGTGGGCTCTATTGACTATAGTCTATAGACGCTATCGA